TCTCCAAATCTAATCAAACCACTTTAATCCAAGCATTATCTCTCACCTAATAACTGCAATGCTCAGTAACTGGCTTCTCTGTAGCTGTTCACTGCCCCCGCCCCAATATGCTTCCCCACAGAACAGCTAGGAATGATCTATAAACACCAAAGATAGAGAATTTCTGTTTCTGTTCACATCCCCAGTGCACAAAACACTGCCTGTCTCTTGGTAGACACTCAATGTGCTGAGTGAAACAACTGGGCCATCTCCCCTACCCTTTCATAACCAGCTTCCTCTCACAGGATAAAACTCACTTCTTATAATGCCTTAAATTGTTATCAGGCCTTCCTAACCTCACATTCCTACTCCTTAAGCTCTCAACTCACTAGTTTTGATAGTCCTTACACTCTCCAAATTCATTTCCACCTTGGAGCCCTTTCATTCCTCCCTTTATGTCTGGCACTTTCTCATCACTCAGGTCTCAGCCCAGTGTCACCTCTTTAGAGAGGTCTTCCCTGACCAGCTTACCCAAAGTAGCTCTGCCTAGAAATCCTATGTCATACCAACCAGTTCCCTTTTCTTCTACTAGCTGGACTATTCTCATTATCTATTTGCTTACCATTTCCTCTCCACTAGAATGTAAATTTCCTTATAACAGATCTTATCTTTCTAGTTCATCAATGTATCCTCAAAGCCTGGCATACAATTAATATTCATTAAAAGAATAAATCACATTAAAAAGATGACAAGCTTTATGCTAGTCACAATAAATGTTTTTAATTAAAGAATAACAGAAAGTCAAAGCAACAAACTGGTATAAAAAGCAATTTGATGTTCTTTTTACGTTAATCATTCTCATTCTTAAAATAAGTAATCTTATGCTAAGGAGTGATATAGCCCAAATTATATCATGTGCATGTAAGACTATGTAACAACAAATCTTATAATTTTGTACAACTATAATGCACCAATAAAAGACTTTCTACAATAAATTGCTTCTTAGAATATTGCTTTAATATTCTGAAATTATGAAAGTATAAAATATGATCACCTTTAACACAGTTATATATTTGAGTTTAAAACTTATCTGTATGATCACATTCTTTTTTTAATTCACAATTTGTGGTAACTAATTAAGCTAAAATCAGTAAAATACTATATCTGTGAGACTTCAAGCCTTCATTGTCTTCTCAGAGTACATCATACATACATTTCTTTCAGTAACAAAAACCATGACTCTGTTCATAAATACATAAATATTCACAACATGACAACAGAAATTATCAACTCACCATTTATTGATCGGCCTCAGATCAATTTACTAGCTTCATTCAAGCCAAAGTGATCAAATTCCAGTTATTAATCAAATTCATTTCATAAAAGACATTACCCCAATGCCTATTATGAAAGAACATTTCCAGGTGAGTTTAGGCTAAAAAGTAAGTTTCATTGTTACCGTAGTACTCTTAGGTCCATCTAATTCAGAACCACAGCAGCAAACCTTATTATTAGATGTAATCTTAAGAGTTATTACCACTATCATTATGACATCACTAAACACCTTATGGCAATGCATCAACTACAAAAAAGTAGATTTAAAGCTCCAACCAATGGACAAATGACATTTTTTAAAGCTCAAGTAAGCCTTTCCTACTAACACTTATAACACACTTTAAAAGTATAAAATTCTATCTCAAAATGTTTTAAGGATTGAATATGTTAATAGCTTTAAAATGACTTATAAAAAGGAACATATTCAATATCACTAGATGTTAATAAGTACTCAAAATAGCACCATATCATGCTAGATTTCTAAAACC